AAATGATTCTATGATTCTATGATAACTGGTAGGTGCCATACACTGCAGTGCTCTCTTTAGAAGATAGATTGTTCATTTCTCCTTCCACAAAGGAGGGAGAGGGCAGTGGAAAAAAATATTTATTTAAAAAAATCAATTAAACCCCAAAACAAACCTAACACACTATTTTATACACTTCGCAAGAACCGTACAGGTTCTCCCGCAGCCTGCAAGACAAGGAGTTATTAATCTCCACCACCCCAGGTGGGCCACTAACTTTAAATCCCCATCCCTACCTCTGACACGCTACCTAAACCAACTACTCGGTCTATCAGAATAGCCCAGCTGAATTTTCTCCAGAAGAAATAGAGTGAGAAAAGGAGGCAAACACAGAATGAAGAAAGCAAGACAAAAAAGTAAAACTGGATCTGCATCCCATTCCCTCCTGTGACAAACTACAAGCACATCTGCACCCAGCAGATGATTCAGAGTTGCTGTTGTCTTAAAAAAAAAAAAAAAAAAGGGGGAAAAAAGTGAACAAGTACAATATCACAGAAGCCAAAAAGGCTGTAGAATTCAAGTTTATACACAGAGACAGAATGAACAGGTTTTCACTCGTGACCCCTAGTATTTATACCTTGAACAAAAACAAGGTAGCAAACACTGTATATTTCCTGGGCACATCAGTAGAAAGCTAAAATAATTTGGATCACCAATCTAGGATCTTGCCTCACTATGTAAATGCCCAACATATTAAGAATCAAAAAAAAAAAAAAAAAAAAAAAAAAAAAAAAAAAAAGGGGGGTTTAGCTGGAAATATTGCAGCAGAAACTGCATTTCAGCAACAACCCCAAAACACATTGAGCCTATTTTTACTTCAGACAAATGCCTTTTTCTTATCATCTCAGCCTGGGGAAGTTTACACCAAGTAGAAAATCTTATCTTTAAACATCAGTACATAATCAACATACCCTATACTCCTCTGCCAAATCAAAATATACTTTACTTCTTCAAAGGTATCAAAAAAGACAAGCATACAGCCCCTGAATAAAAAAGGCTGCAGGAACATACTACCTTACTTATCATATATTCATAAAGAACTAGTATGTGCAAGTCTATATAAAAATATGGCCACTACTGTCCATATGGCTGGGACAGTTCATGGGCTTTGTGGTACCACTGAGAGGTTTCAGTAAGGTTTCTGGAATAGAAATTAAAACACAGAATTAGGGGGGAGTAATAAACAGTCATTTTACAAAGATTTTAAACCAGAATTACTTATATTTTATCTTTTAATTGGCTTTGGTTTCCTAGTCAAGAGGGACAGCAAACTTTTAAGACTTCTGTCCTTTTAAAGAGCATGATGCTAATCAAGTCAATATACAGCACACAAGTATTTCTTGATCATCCTTGAAGTTACATTTAAAAAACCAGCCCCCATGCCTCAGTAGTTAAAAAACCATCCAGGGTAAAAAAGTAAATGTGTTTTTCAGTAGGTTGTTAGAAGCTCTTGTGGTTTCTGAAGCAGCTTTTCTTCCATTTTTCCAAGCAAGACGTCTGATCCCATTGTGCTGTGATGCTTTGTCTGACTAAAATCTACGGTTAACAGGGTTGGTTCACCACACAGTTGGCTACATGCAGTTGAGCAGCAACGCTGTCTACCTTTTCACCATACAGCTGGAAAAACTTTCACAGCATGTGAAAAAATTATCAAAATACTTAGTCATGCAACTTCCATCAGACTGATACAAATCACCCAGTTAACACTATTTTCAAGAACAATAAATACACTTAAAAATTGAAGCCCTTGCGTTAGAAACAGGCATAACTTGGCTTATCTCTTCTGCTCTTCAGTAACACTCACAGTATCTTCAGATTGGTGTATATTTTACAAGATTCAAAACAGCCAACTGGTGGCTTCACAGTAACAAGTCCGATTTTCATTCATTTCATTAAAGAACACCCAGCACCACTACTATTATCAATTTTAGGAAGAGTCTCTGCATAGCTATGAGTATCTAAACACTTCCTGAAAACCAGACCAAGGTTCTCAGGAACGCTTAGAAAGACATTCAGAATAGAACAATATAGGTAGACAATCCAAATTCCACAGGCAGGAGCACAGATCACCAAACAGCTAGGGTCGGACTCCCCGTTGCTCAGAGGGCCTGCAGCAGTTTGCAAGTTCGCCTTACCAAGTCCTCAAAACAGAGCTCACATTAAAATATATTAAATGACTGCAAGGCAAATGAATATAATCAAGGTCACACAAGGAACAGAGCTGCCAAATAAGGTAGTTCCGTGTCCATAAAGTATTTCCCATGAATTACAAAGTTTTGGTACAGCAGGGTGAATTTTTAATAGTACACTAACCACAGAAAGCTCTTATTTCCAATAGCATTGTCAAAATGCATCTTAAAGACCATTTAAGCTTTGGGTTTGCATAATTTGTTCGTTTTTGCTTGTTTCTGGGTTCGTTTTATTTTTTTTTCGTTCTTTTAAAGCCAAGTGTGTGCAAACTGCTTGCAGCACTTCTGTTTGGGGATTGTTTCAACAGCTATTCTTGGGGAGCAGACTTGTAATGTTTCAACGTGCGAGCAGAAGGATCAGCAGCTTTAACCCATCGTGGCATCCAGTAGTGGGGCAGCCAGTGGCTGTGCCCTGAGTAGTGCTTTTCAAAGACCTGGCGGTAGTAATAGCTTTCTTTTGTTCTGGGAGGATTGAAAGGATATTTCTCTGCTGCCTTTTCCAGCAGAAGGTCATCAACCTACAGATGTAAGCAAAACTCAAGTTAAACTGCAGATACACTTAACTTTCACAAGTCAATCTGCTGCAAATTAAAGGCATACAACAATTCACTAACCATGAGGCACAGGTTTCCAACACAAATTTTTGTCATAGCCCCCCTTGATCTTTCTGAATATGTAACTATATTTCCAGTGCTATTAATATTATCTCTGCTTCATATGTGAAGCCCATTTCTCTTTTGAGTTACAAAGGTCTTTGCCAGTAAGCTCACAAAACCTTTTTTTCCTATCCTCCTCTTTGCTGTGAATCAACCAGAATAAGCTGAAGCGGTCTTTTTGCCATTAAGTGGCTTCTTTGCTTTTTTTTTTTTCTCCCCAGCTCACGGAGCTGTTATCTCTGCTTGTATAACCAAGCTCTTAGCAACAAAGGAGCCTAGATGCAGACGCGAAGACACCAGCAGTTGCTAAGGTGGGTAAGAAAGGGAGGATGAATAATTGTACCAGTTGAGCCAATTTCTAAAGCAGCTTCCACTGCCAACATGTTTTCTAACCCCTCAGTCATGGAATAAATTTGCCCCTACTATGTCAATTCAGGCTCAGTACATTTAACACAACACTGTTGCCTGACCCAGCTATTTTCTTGCCTGAGAATAAAGAGAAAGAGCATGGGAAACAAGCAGTTAGTGGTAGGACAGACAAGCACCCTACTGCAGGCTAAACTACACATATTTCTACATAACAGAGCTCTGGTGTAAATCAGGTGTTACTCCTTCTCCATGATGAATCTCCAGGTGATTAGAAAAAGTAATCATCCCCCTGTACTCAGCACTGGTGAGGTCACATCTCAAGCAGCGAGTTCAGTTTTGAGCACCTCAACACAAGGACATTGAGGGGCTGGAGCAGGTCCAGAGAAGGGCAACGAAGTTGGTGAAGGTTCTAGAGGACTCGACTTATGAGGAGTAGCTGAGTGAACTGGGGCTGAAAAGGAAACTCAGAGGAGACTTCATTGTTCTCTACAACTATCTGAAAGGAAGTTGTGAAGAGGTGGGTGTTGGTCTCTTCTTGCAAATAAGAAGTGATAGGACAAGAGGAAATGGCCTCAAGTTGCACCAGGGGAGGTTTAGGTTGGATATTAAGAAAAATTTCTTCACTGAAAGTGATATCAAGCCCTGGAACAGGCAGCTCAGGGAAGTGGTTGAATCACCATCCCAGGATGTGTTTAAAACTCACGTAGATAATGATGCTTAGGGACATGGTTTAGCAGTGGACTTGGTACAGTTAGGTTAATGGTTGGACTTGATGATCTTGAAGGTCTTTTCCAACCTAAACGATTCTACAATTCTATGATTAAACTACCTCCATACAGCAGAGATTATCCTTTGTCCAAAAGCAAAACACTGTAAGTATTCGTTGGTTAGCAATGCAAGGAGAGGCTTCAAAAAGCAAAAGCTAGGCATGGCAGGGGAACAAAAAAAACAAAACAAAACAAAAAACCCACAAAACACCCCCAAACAATAAAGGACATTATAAAGTCATTATGCTGTTAGCCACAGGGTAAGTTCATGCTAGTGCCTTCAGATGAAGCAGCTGCTTTGCATGTAACCCAGAAATTGTGTTTGTTGACACACAATCTAATTTGCAGTCCAGATACTTAAATGATGTTCATTTCCTTACACAGTCATTTCTGTCAGGTTCTAGCATTTCTTTTTATCTAGGATTTCAAATGTCTTTAACCAACTCAGACAGCTAGGAGACTGTCACTTAAAGTTTATCTTCTCCTCCACCATGAAACAGAAGTTACTGTCACTCCCAGATCTCTCCTCACAACTAAGCACAAGAGCAGCCTCCCCTCAGCAGTTCTGTCTAATACACCTAAATGTGAAAGACAGTAATAAAACAAACAAACAAATATGGTATTGTACCTGTTGATCAATATAGTCCTGAAGAATAGAAAACCAGGATTTCTTTACTGATGCTATACCATCACTGAAAGCTTCTTTGGGTCTCCAGAGTATTTCTTTGGGAAGTAAGTTGGAATCTTCAAAGGACTGCCTTAAAAGGTATTTTTCAATTCCATTCTGTTTGCAGAACAAAATGTCATAAGTCTCAGGAACTGCAGTGGAAAGATCTGGCTTTAAATATGTAAGAAATGGTTTCCTTTCAGAAGGCCTGGTCAGAAAAGGGTTCCCAGGAGTCTAACAATCCAGCAAAATATTTAAGGGCATTTTTAAGTTTGCGTAGAGGATTTAACAATTGAATTCAGCAATTTGGTCACACTTGGAATATGTATCAATGAATCTAAGTCCAACCCTAGTTTTACCTACCTTTGGAGTTCGCAGCTCTGCTGGTAGAGATAAATAATAAGAAGTAAACCGATGATCCAAAAATGGGACTCTCAGTTCAAGACTAAAGAGGGGAAATAAATAGAAAAGATACGGAAATAGTCCAACAAATCATCTACTTAAAAATTCCACAACAGTTAAGCTGTTTTTTCTGCTTTTACCTGAAAGACATTTTACTTGCATTTTCATAACGATGTGCATTTAATTAATCAAAATGGAAAGTTAAGTACATGGTCTGCACAGATTAAATGAAGATCTCGATGATTTACGATGCCATCTGCTGGACAGTTTCTAGTACAATGCATTTATGGTCCTGCAGGACTTGCAACAACCCTTATCCCACATAAGCAAAAACACATAAAAAAAAAAAAATTCTGTTGCCCCCAAGGAACTACCAAATTGCTCACTGGAATTTGCACCAGCTATTTGTAAAGATGTCACAGAGCCAAGGAAGGATTTCTGCTGTCATTTCTGAAATCCACATTTGTTTGTTTTCAAGAAACAATGAAACAGAGCCCACATGGACACCATTAAGCTATTGACTACTGTACTGATCCTGCAGCTTCTGCACAACAAGTTCTCTCCCATAGCAATGGCAGATGTACACGTACAGAGTCTGTTTACATTCTCTTATGCATACCAGGGCTCCTAAGGACAAAAAAGGCAACAAATAAATTTACAGCAACTACATGTCTTCAGGAGGAAGAACCCCTCTCAGTGTCTCTCCTCAGGAGACATTATGCTGCACAGCTTCAAAGTCAAGTGGAGATGTTATACTGCATTCTAGTAACTCCATTGTCTCTCTAGCTTCTCTTTTGATAAAAAGCTTCAACTACATCAGGCAATACCTACCTTACCAAAAAAAAAACCCCAAACCAACCAAAAAACATCAGCAATCAAGTACTGAGGCTCATTTTCCACATATACTGACAAGATTTATGTTACAAGTCTTTCC